AAAAAAAAAAAAAAAAAAAAAAAGAGAGAGAGAGAGAAAAAAAAGGGAACAACATCAGTTAAAACCTACTGCTGGATTTGGAACTTGACCTGCTCTTTAGTATCGTTTTTTTTTATCCCAATAAAGGAATTATATATTTCCTCCCTATGCATAAATAGTATTAAATGTCTGATTAGCCAGCAGGTTTGTAAGCAGAAGCAGGAGTGTGATTCAGTGTGGAGCAGAGGGAGTGGTGAGTTACTGTAGTGGCTTAGATGCATAGGACCTGCCCTATACGTGCGGGTTTGCGGTTGCTGAGGACACGCTCAGGTGTCAGTCACAGCTTCCCCTCAGTGACAGATAAAACGCGGTTGTGTTACCACTTGTGGGTAGTTTCTTAAAATAAAGCTGCTAAGGAGTCATTTGTGTAATGAGGGTAGAAGACTTCCCCCTATTCCTAGAGCCATAAAAGAGGAGTTTGATCATAACGAGGCACTGTTGCATTGCGACACCGCCGGAGAAGGGAGAGAAGGGTTATGTGTGGATAATTGAAGCTCTTTACAGTTGGAATAATGCAGGGTGAGCGTGCCTAGGGCTTTTCTCGCAGCTGAAGGAGAATTTAGCCCAGCATTTCACCTTGAGCCAGCAAAAACGTGGTTCCTGCGTTCAGTAAGTTCCATGTGTGAGATTAGTCTTGATGTCGAACAATCCCTGTTGATTTTCCCTTGATGTTAAGGCAACTCCGCAGCAAAATGCAATTAAGTCCATGATTACTTTCCAGAATGAGATACCAGGTCCCAGGTTTCCTTTTCGAAATGTGCAAAATATATTCTCCCACCCCCTCCCCTTCCTCGTCAGGCCTTGCTTTGCCCTTCGGAGGGCTTGGGGGGCTCCCTGGGACCCGAGGTCCCCCCAGCCCGGTGCCGGCTGCGGATTGGAAATGCCATGGTGGAGGGTGAGGAGCCTGATGGGCAGCAGATGGGAAGCTCCCTTTAAAACGAGGATTCATTCTCCCCTGAACTGGTTTTCCTCTAAAAGGATGCAGTTGCTGGAAGAGGAAAGGGAATGTGTTTTCCACCTCCTCATCCCCGATTCAAATCTAGCCCCAGCTGACAGCGAGCGGGAGTCATTAACGCGCCAGAGCAGCCATGTCCTGCGTGAAGAGAGCTTGGTGACTCCTGGGCCGGTTTCTAATGCACAGATGGTAAAATAATCCCACTGCCCTGCTTGCCAGCTTTGTTTGCTGCCTGCCTGCAAAAGGCCAGGGAATGACTAGGGACTGCATTACCCCTTCCACCTCTCGGGCGGCGTGGGGAAAAGCTGCCTGGACTAAAGCATGTGGCTTTACCACGCGTCAGCGGGTTGACTCACGGACCCGGGCAGACGGCTGACACCCCTGGAGCTCCCAGCACTTTTGCTCCTCCCTTCCCCTGGACGTCTCCAGAAACATCTGCACTGTACGTGAAGCGGCCCCTGTCCGCCTACGTGTTACAGCCCGGCAGATTAAAATCATCTGGGGTTGAGCTGGGGGTCCGTTTCTCTTCCCCCCCCCTTCCCTCCCCACCTCATACATCAGGATGTGCAGTAGCAGTCGAGGGGTTGATCTTGCCTGTAGTTCAGCTGTCTTTGCTGTGGCTGGGGGCAGAGGGACAGCTGGGACAGCAACTGCTTTAGTAATCCAACTTTAATCTGCCTGCGTCCGTGAGTCAGCACCCTCGGAGTGCATCTGTCTCCGGCACCGCGGCAGGACGTGCGTGCCCGAGTAGCACAGCCTTGCTTGAAAAAAAAATCTGGGCGCCTGGGAGGGGGAAGAGGAGCCCAGGCTGAAGTGAGCTGTTAAGCAATCGCTAATGACACCGAGTGACACGGCTCCGGCTTCGCAGGGGTTGAGTAAGGAGCCATGAGATGAGGAGAGCTGTTCATTTAAACACAGCTCGGTCGGTGACTCCCCAGCCCCGTTGGCGTGTCAGGAACCCCAGGAATCTGAGCACCTGGGTCAGCCCGAGGAGCAGAAATGCATCCTGGCATCACCCCTTCCTTGTGATTAATGCATTTCTGGAAAGAATTGCAGCTCTCTCTTAAGGTGTGCTCTGTGCTGGCTGGGTGGCAGAGCTTGGTGGCAGATCCTCCCAAGCTTTGGATTTGTCCCCACTGCATGTCGGGGGCAGAGTGAGGTGCTGGGGTACCCCTCCTCTGGCCCGGGCAGGACAGAGCGACGTCCCCTTGGGGGGTCAGACGTGGATCCTTCTCACTTGCAAAGGAGTTGAGTTGGTGCTTCCCTGCTCCCTACGTTTTTCCCAGCAGCAAACTGGCCCAGTGAGACCCCACCTGTGCCACGGTTGGCTTCCAGGATCCAAAAAACATCCCAGAGGGTAATTTGGTTTTTATAGGCTCACTTTGCTTAAACTTGGAAAGGTGTGTAAAATAAATAGACGGTAATTTTCCTATGGCTCTGGGTTGGAAGGAGGAGTTGCCTTTTACTGAACTCAGGATCCAGGAGTGTTTGCTGGCTTGGTCCTTCTGTCTGCGTGTAGCCACACGTAGGGGTTGTGTGCATCTGCACCAGCCAGAGCTTCAGCCTCTAATCCAGTAGGTTCATTTGGTTTAACCGGGGCCAGGTAGGGAGAGAGGAAGAGTGTGACAGAGCGAGGAGGAGGTGGGGGTGGTTACAACGAGGGGACTCCAGCAGATCACCCTGCGGTGATGGCTGAGGATGCTCTTTGTATTGTAAACATCTCTCTGTGCATCCACCTGGGGAAAATGTGAAAGGATTTGAGACTCTCTTCACTCGCCGCTCCTTATCTGAATGTGTTTACATCTGCTGTACCCTCCGCCGGGCTCTTGCCCATCCCTGGCCAGCACCTGGCTGAGGACCACCTGTAAAACTGGCTGGGAACAGCCAAAAAAAACCAAACACCCGCCACCGTTCAGCAAAACCCCCTCTCCCTTCCATAAACTCCTCTTTATGGCTTATAACTGTGCACACGAGGCTTTGTCCTTCCAACTCTCTCTGCTTCGCCCTCCTTTAAGTGAGATTTGGGGGAAGTGAAGGGTCTCATTGGTGTGGGTGGAGCTCTCAATTCATAGATCTTCAGAGCCAGAAGGGACCATCATGTTCCTCTCTCTCCTGACCTCCCTGACAGCCCATTAAACGCCGCCCCGCCGCCACCGCGCGCGGTTGAGTTAGAGCCCCTCTGGTGGGAAGACACCCAGCCTTGATTTAAAGGCTGGGGGTGGCAGACAGATCCACCACAGACCTCCACAAGTTTGTCGTGGGGGTTAAATCCCCTCCCTGGGGAGTTTGGCTTCATTTCACATCATCCAATCTGGCTCTACCTTTGCGATAGGTGAGAACCCCCCTCCCTCTCCTGCCCCGTGGTGTTCTCTGGAGGGGAGAGGGGATGGAGAAGTGAATCCTCCAAGGGCACATCAGGGCCAGTGGGTCTAAACCCTTGCTCTGACCACGAGCACTGGTTTCCTCCTCCAGCTGCGGCTCTGCTGGAGAACCTCCCTCCATGCCCTTGGAGAATGCTCCCCAAAGCCTCATGCCAACCTTCTCCCATTTTCCCCCCAACCAGTCCTGCTTCTTGCGTGTTAATGACCTTTGTCAAAAAGATAACTGAGCACCAGACGGGTTTTATCCCGTGTGGTGGGATGTGGTGGGATGGGACCAGCCCCCTGGAACTCACCCCCTGCCCCACGGGGCTCCCCCTCCTGCGAAAGCCAACGGTGGCGGCTGTTGCGTTCCCTGGACCCGCCGGGTCCACCCAAGCTCTTTCTTTTATGTTCCCTTTTTTGAATTTCACCAAAAAGGGGTATTTGCAATATCTGGTCATATGTTGTTACTCAGTGTATAATTTAGATGTCTTTGAAATGTGAAAGGATTTGAGACTCTCTTCACTCGCCGCTCCTTATCTGAATGTGTTTACATCTGCTGTACCCTCCGCCGGGCTCTTGCCCATCCCTGGCCAGCACCTGGCTGAGGACCACCTGTAAAACTGGCTGGGAACAGCCAAAAAAAACCAAACACCCGCCACCGTTCAGCAAAACCCCCTCTCCCTTCCATAAACTCCTCTTTATGGCTTATAACTGTGCACACGAGGCTTTGTCCTTCCAACTCTCTCTGCTTCGCCCTCCTTTAAGTGAGATTTGGGGGAAGTGAAGGGTCTCATTGGTGTGGGTGGAGCTCTCAATTCATAGATCTTCAGAGCCAGAAGGGACCATCATGTTCCTCTCTCTCCTGACCTCCCTGACAGCCCATTAAACGCCGCCCCGCCGCCACCGCGCGCGGTTGAGTTAGAGCCCCTCTGGTGGGAAGACACCCAGCCTTGATTTAAAGGCTGGGGGTGGCAGACAGATCCACCACAGACCTCCACAAGTTTGTCGTGGGGGTTAAATCCCCTCCCTGGGGAGTTTGGCTTCATTTCACATCATCCAATCTGGCTCTACCTTTGCGATAGGTGAGAACCCCCCTCCCTCTCCTGCCCCGTGGTGTTCTCTGGAGGGGAGAGGGGATGGAGAAGTGAATCCTCCAAGGGCACATCAGGGCCAGTGGGTCTAAACCCTTGCTCTGACCACGAGCACTGGTTTCCTCCTCCAGCTGCGGCTCTGCTGGAGAACCTCCCTCCATGCCCTTGGAGAATGCTCCCCAAAGCCTCATGCCAACCTTCTCCCATT